GATATTTAAGAATTTTTACAAAGAAAATGTAGAAATGTTTTCAAAAAGTTACAATCATCATTTTTATGCCTAGTATCACTTCGTTCCAAGACAGATGTAACATAATACAGTTTTGAAAATCCCCCCCCCCCCCAAAAAAAAAAAACTAACCAAAAAAAAAAAAAACTACGCATTTCATTTTGGTAACAGCATTAAGTTCCAAGATGCAGCATTACTCATTTGTCTTAAATACAAATTTCATTAAACAGTATAAACAACAATGGTTTATCGTTATATCAAAATACTGGCTTTTATTCCTAAAAAAATAAAAAGAAAAAAATAAGAACAAAAACTTCTTTACTCGAAAATGGTAGCCATAATTAAATGCTGAAAAACCATTACAGCATGCTTATTCAACTTATAATTGAAATTTTCATTTATCCCTACTTTTTACATTATATTCTTTCAATCTTTCAATGATTGGGTTCAAATACTATTTATACTTTTGTTAAACCTTACATAATGTAATTTCTCATTACAAGTACTAATATAGTATTCAACAAATAAATAAAAAAAGGGAGAAAAAAAAACTGATACCCTCAATATACAATGAAAAGCAATGCATATTAAGATATCGTCATGTCCGATTAAATTAAAAAAACAACAATTCCACATCATATACTAAAAGGTACCGTGTTATACAAAAGTTGCCAGCTCTCACTACTCAATATAACTTCATGTTGGTAACGCTAAACAAAAATCTATGGTTACTTTGAAGTACTTCTTATTAATTAGAAACCATTTACAACTTATATTAATTAGAAAATAAAATATATATTAAGTTGGCAACACTCAAGCACTGGTAAGTATTTCAGGATGGTAGAAGTCCATACTTAAAAGTAGCTCAACTTGCTAGTAATCATATCCTAAAAGGTATCTCATTGTAGGTAGCACATTTGAATATATAGATTGCATCAATTTGGTAACTTTCCAATACTCAAAGATACTTCAGGTTTGTTACATATATAAAAAAATAGTTCATACCTTAAAAGTACATCAAATTTGTAGCACTCGTATAATAAGGACTTCAAAAATGACAATTCTTTTATATTTATTCTACAATTTGGTAACTTTCTCAAAGATACTTCAAGTTTGTTACATATATAAAAAAAAGTAGTTCATACCTTAAAAGAACATCAAATTTGTAACACACACATAGTAAAAAGAACTTAACCTTGACAATTCTTTTATATTTATTCTACAAGTTGATAACGCTCGTATACTAAAGGTAATTTAAGTTACCGACAGTGGTATCTTAAAAAGTATCTCATGATGGTCGAATTCATATAACTTTGAGTGCACAGAACTTCAAGTTATTAACTCTTATATACTTAATTGCTACTTCAAGTTAGTATAACTTGTATACTAGAAAGTACATCAAATTGGTAACACTCGTTTGTTTAAAAGTACTTTTAAATAGGTAACTCTCATAATTACACTTATAGTAATTTAAGTTGGTAACTCCTAAATACACATAAACCGAATAGTACTACAAATTAGTGCAGTCAAATTTCTTTAAAGTACTACAAATCTACATCCTTTTTATACCTAGTATCACTACATTTCAAGACAGTTGTAACATAATTAACAAAAAAAAGAAACTGCACATTTCTTGAAACATTTTGGTAACAGCATTAAGTTACAAGATGCAGCATTACTCATTTGTCTAAAATGCAAATTTCATTAAACAGTATAAACAACAATTGTTCATCGTTTTATCAAAATACTGGCTTTTATTCTTAAAAAAAAAAGAACAAAAACTTCTTAACTCGAAAATGGTAGCCATAATTAAATGCTGAAAAACCATTACAGTTTGCTTATTAACTTCTAATTAAAATTATCATTTATCATTACTTTATACATTATATTCTTTCAATGATTGGGTTCAAAGACTATTTATACATTTGTTGAACTTTACTTAATGTAATTTCTCGTTACAAATACTATTATAGTATTCAACAAATAAATAAAAAAAGGAAAATACAAACAGAAAAACAAACTGATACCCTCAATATACAATGAAAAGCAATGCATATTAATATATGGTCATGTCCGATTAAATGAAAACAAATCAATATAACTTCATGTTGGTAACCGAGAATGGAATCTTAAAAAGTATCTCGTGATGGTAGAATTCATATAACTTTGAATACACAGAACTTCAAGTTGTTAACTCTTTTGTACTTAATTGCTACTTCAAGTTAGTATAGCTTGTATACTAAAAAGTACATCAAATTGGTAACACTCATTTGATTAAAAATATTTTAAATAGGTAACTCTCATAATTACACTTATAGTAATTTAAGTTGGTAACTCACAAATACACATAAACCTAATAGTACTACAAATTGGTGCAGTCTATTGTCTTTAAAGTACTTCACTCATGTACCAAAAAAGCCTCAACTTTGTTACGCTTATTATATTTCATTAAAAAGCACAACAGGTTGGTACCACTCAATATACTAACGCATATTCTAATGTAGGATACATTATTTAACCAGTTGTTGCACAGTATGTACACTTTGTAAGTAGGTATTTTATTTCAATATTTCAAAAATAATATACTAACTATTCATTTATTCAACAGCAAAAGAATATGATCACTGAGTTACATCGCTCTAAAACTGTCTGAAGTCAAGTGCGTTTACTATCAATAATGCACCATAAACCACTGTCCATCAATACACAATGCGTTGCTCAATTGTGCGGAAAAAGAAAAACATTATAGTATAGTTAGCGAAAAAGATAGCGCGTCCAAAAATGTTTATACTGGCCAAGGTAGATCGAGCCATTTCTTATAATCTCCGTACTGTACATGATGGATCTTATCCATTTTATCCTTAAAATGGATTTTTCCGTTTTTTGTCCATACATCAGCCACAAGGTCTTCTCTTTTTTCTTAATGCTCATTAAAACTCTATGGTTCAGTAATGTTAGGTCTTCATTAATAAAGATCCCAGTACCTTTAAGGTGTCTCAGATTTCTGAGAATATCCTCTTTCATATTTCTAGACATGAACCGAACAGTAATGTCCCTATTTGATCCTTTCCTATTGGGAAGTATGATATGCTCAAGCAATGAGCAATGTCAAGGTCAGCCATGGAGAGACCATCTGTTATCTTCTGTTGATTGAGTACATTAATTACCTTCTCAGCCGTTGTTTTAGTCACTTCATTTGGATCAGTATCTTTAATTCCATTTATCAAAATGTTATTCCTTCTGCTACACTGCTCCATCTCATTTTTTCTCTAGTCTATTGGCATAGTTTCTTTCAATCAATTTTTTTAACTAAGCATTTTCATTCTTCAGCAATTCAAACTCTGATTCTAATGCTTTCATATTACTATTTAACTGATTATTTTCAATTTCTTTGTCAAACAGCTTACTTTCTAGCACATCTATTCTCTTATATAGACAGATTTCAATAGCTCTTCTTTCATTTCAATAAAAAGATCTTTAAAAGTGTTTTTAATCTCGGAGTCATTTTTCATCATCACTTCACTGAACTTATCATTCATACTTGAAATAGCATTATCCATTTTTAAAAGTTTAGTGTTCATAAGTTTTATTTCTTTTTAAACATCATTAACGTCGAACTGCGTTTTGTCCTGCTCAGTAGCTTGAAGAATATCAATCAAACTTTGTTGACTCTGACCTGTATTCACTTTCTTTTTACCAGGCTTACTGGATGTGACCGGGGGAGAATCTACACCTAGGCTTAAAGTCTCACCTCTCCCTCTTCTATTTGGAGTTTCAGAACTTTTAATCTCCGCCACTTTCTTTACTTCACCTTTCATCATCGCGTTACTTTCTCTGTGCAGTATACTTTTTCAAAACAGCGAACTGATAGCGCTATGATACAACTTCAAAAATATATCAAAATATATCAAAGTAGATACTCCAATCTAAATTATAAAGTCATCAATTCACAGATTGTACTTTAATGTAGTACTTCCGTAACTTACATCCTCAAAAACCTATCTATATAAGCAAAGAAAATCATTTTCCACCGACCACGTTTAATTTACATGTTTTCATAACCGGTGCACATGAAAGCTAAATTTATAAGCACATTTTATTTTCTCTTCCTATATTACAGAAGGAGAACGACAATATAACATGGCGAGGTCGAAATTTTTACTCAATAAAGATGGGTCCAGATGCTGATTTCGAATACACGTGTTTCCCTTGTTTGGGGAGGTTGATGATGTCAGAGAAGAAGCTGTAAAGTATTGCCCTGTATGTGAGGAAAAATCTGTGTACATCATGCACACGACTCATGGTCGACAAAAAGCTACACGGTCACATACGTTAGTAAATTGTGATGCGTCAACAAATGGTACTGCGGTAACCATGGTTACAAAAAGTCGTTACCATCCAGAATCGTGACATTGAAATGTACTGTGGAGCACATGACATGGTCTATTGTATGAAATGTATTATGATAATCACAGGTTTGTTGATATATTTTATTATCTTTTTGGGGCTCTACCACTATGCTATTAATAGAAATATATGAATCAAGGAAATCATACAGGGCATATTTTTTATACGTCGGACCAATGCCTTGATAATTAAACAAAAAGTGCTTTGAGCATTGAAAATATATAAATTTAAAAATGTAATAAAAGTTAGAAAAGATAACGATCGCCAGGACAATAACGGATGCAAATCGAACCTGAAATTTTTACTTTTATGCTTTGTTATATTGCTCTCGAGATATCTCAATTTTTCCAGAATTTCATGAATTCCGAGATGCCCATCTTTTCAAAGAAAGAACTTTACAGTCAACGTTAAAGAAATTCAAAACAAACATTAAATTACTATATGAAAATCAATTAAAAAGTAATGACATTTATGAATATGACATTTTGTTTAATTCAGATCCTGCAATGGAGTGTCAAATTTAGAAAGACGTGTCTTCACATCAGATACAAGAAATTGAGCGACTCAAGACGGACATGAAAACTATTCAAGAGCGTTTAGATGACACTGACCAGAAATTGCAGACGAACATCAGTAGCCTTGAGAAGCAAAGAAACGAAATTATTTCTCAGATAGAGGGGATTGAGCAGGAATTCTTTAAACATATCCGTAAGCTGAAGCATAAAGCATTGGAAGCTCTGTATTCAGACTTTTCGTTGGTCAAAGATGAGATTGAGACAAATGTTTCTCAGATTAGCAAAGTAAAACAAGAAATTGAGCAAGCAAACAACCAGTTACAGACAGCCGACAGTATGAATATAAGGCAACAATTTGTACAGACAAAACTGGTACAACAGAGTGTAAACAATGCTTTGGAAGTTTTTAAACAAAGCGAGGCTAAAGGTTGTCTGTTTTTGCGCTTTACGGAAAATACGAAATTAAAATCTTTAATCATTGCGTCAACATCTTTAGGGTCTGTTCAGAAGACAACAGAAAACAACAGTCAGGTAGCATTAAAGTTGTATAAAGTAATTTCACAGAAGATTAATATCAGAATGAAAAATGACCGTTATCAATGCTACATCAGTGATATATGTCAACTTGCAGACGGTACAATCATACTGGCTGATAGAAATAATATGAAGCTAAAGAGGCTTGATGTGAATTATGACATTAAAGATTGTTTGGATCTAGAATCATATCCTACAGGTATATGCTGTACTGGTAATACTGAGGTCGCTGTGAAACTGCACACCAACAAAGTTTGGTTTATATCAGTAGGAAGCTCATTATCTAAGGTGAGAGATATATCTGTTACATGTGGAGGTTACTGGGGAATGACATATTGTGATGGAGAATTGTGGGTATCTGATGGAAATGGTGTAAATGCATACAATATGACTGGCACATTGATAAAGTCTGTCAGTAATACTGTCAATGGTCAACACATATTTAAATCATCTCAACAGCAAATGGCTGTCAGCGGAGATACTGTTATTGTAACAGATTATAGTGATGGTGCTGTCTGTCTGAACAGAGATGGAACGGTGAAGAGAGAACTGAGAGATAAAAGGCTTGTCTGGACACGTGGTGTATGTGTAGCCAACAACGGAACCGTGTTTATTTCTGGGTATAGCTCAAACAACATCATGATGTTTGATAGAGATAGTAAATGTCTGGGAGAATTGGTGGTTAAAGAAGCTGGTCTGGCTAATCTAACATCATTGTTGTATGATGACAAGAAAAGCTGTTTAATTGTTGCATGCGATCCGGATAAGATCATAGTTTATTATACATGATATATTTGACATTAAAAGTAGGAGGAGCATATATCACTGTACTGTTACGATGATCATATTTTTGTATATATTAGGTGTGAATTAAATTTAATTGAATTCATGTATGGTGATTTTTGTTGTGATAAAATGAAAATACTTTTCTTAGAGGGTATTGCATGTCTTTAAGATTAATTTGCTGAATGGAAGAACATATGTTTATAAAATAGGACAGTTAGAGCTTATATACTAACATTGTAATATCTTAAAAAGTTATGGACACTTGACACTGAGTCTCTCATCACGAATAAACAATGTATCTTTTTAGTCCCCTACCGGTTTAACCGGAGGGAACTTTAGGTTTACCCTCCGTCCGTCTTTCGTCCGTTTGTCCGTCTGTCTGTCACTCCGTCAGTCCGTCCGTCCACAAAACTGGATCCCGCGATAACGCAAAAAATACTAAAAATATGTTTATGAAACTTGATATATGGATAGATGGCAGTATGGAGAATATGCACGTCTTTTTTTTCTTCCTATGTTGAACATTCTGGTTGCTATGGCAACAAATAGTCTGAAAATATGGCAAATTTAACACATAAACTGGATCCAGTGATAACTCAAAAAGTACTGAAAATATTTTTATGAAACTTGAAATATGGGTAGATGGCAGTCTGGAGATTCTGCACATCTTTTTCTTTTTATCCTATGTTGAAAATTCTGGTTGCTATGGCAACAAATAGCCTGAATTTCAAGATTTCTGATTTAATGTTTTCAGCTTTTTCACTATAAGTTCTTTATTTCTTAAGGTGTTTACATCAATATTTAAATATAAGTTTCTGGTCATCAACCACATCATAAGTGACAAGGTTTACAACTCTAGCACAAAAATTATCAGTATTACCTCCCTTGAACTTAGAATTTTTATGAAAAAAAATGTTGTCTTTTTTAAATAACTTCTTTATTTCCTAATGTATCTACTTCAAACTTCATATATATGTTTCTTATTATCACTCAACATTTTTGAGAAGTTTAAATACTCTAGCAAGACTATTTCCAGAATTATGTCCCCCTTGAACTTAGATTTTTTTCGAGAAACTTCTTCATTCCTATGATTTACTTTAAAATCCCACATCGTAATAATATGACAAGGTTGTATAAACATAATTTCCTCACTAGGCAGGGAAACTTAACACATTACTGTGATATAGACAAGACTCAAAAGATTTAAGTTCATTCATGTCATTCATTCACTGGTAAAATTGAATGGCCAATGGCCCATCAGAATGTTGCTGGGGTTCTAACCGGTAGGGGACTTATGGATTGCTTGCAATACTATGATAATTGCTTGTTTATAATGTAATGTTACAAGTTGTTAATTATAATTATCGAATTGTCTCCATTTCCTGGATATAAAGAAATTTGCTGACTTTTTCTGCAAAGTCATCTACAAACAGCACTGACACTTTATAAATTAAATGACAAGTACATAGGTCATACGCCACAGCAAGTCACATGTCTTTTAGAGATGATCATGAGTAAGATTATGAAGATATATGCTTCAAGATACAGATATATAAACATAGATATACACCCAACAGCAACGGGTTGAGAAACATATAGAACCCAAATGACAGAATATTGACATTATTTCATTTTATAAATACCTGGCCTACATACCGTTTATCAATTTCGTTAACACATATCAAATTATAACCCAGTTTTAATTAAATATAAGTTCATTTTTTTTCATAGAGTTTATTTTTTTCGGCCCGAATACAAGCAATGCATCCTACATCTCATGGAGTCAACAATATTCGCAATGTTGTTCGGACTTTGTTACGTGCCAGACGTAACTGCTGGGTGAACCGCTCAATAAACACATGGTTGTGGAGAGTCATATAATTCGAAATTAAACAAAAGACTTTAAGAATATTTCTGCCCTAAAATGATATCAACACATGTAAAATAATATTATGCCACTAAAATTTTATGAAAGGATCGTTTATGTCTGGCACAACAATAAAACAATTCAAGTTCTAATAGAAATGCATCTAAATTTATTTCTAAAAGTAGCTTAATTCGTGACCTGTTTGTATTTTTCAATACAATTATTTTTAGAATAGAATATATAAAGACTCCCGGATAATTTATATGCCGGAATTCGCGTGAGACGTAGCACTGCAACATTGGTTTAACATGCTATTAATTCGATAAAACTTTGATATCAGCTAAAAGTTAGGGTTCAAATACAAAATATACAAGTAAGCATTTATTTTAATTTACTCCCCACCTCGATCAGCCTTAATAAGTAAGTTAAGATCGTCCATGCCTTAAATTCTCTGTAAAATTGAATCCTCGCTTATCCGGAAATTTTGTCCGGTCCCGAGCATGTCCGGTTTTGTGAGTTTTTACTGTTTAACTATTGCAAGACTTAATCAACGGCTTTTTTAAACTGAAAATATTCAGGATCGTCCAGAGATAGTCCGTCCTGATGTGACAACAGCGGCACGAGACGCACTGATTCAAGCTGTCCTCCGTCAGTACATATACCTCAAAGTCATAACTACGGTCAGGAATACTACATGTTTTGTGATTTACTGGCAAGTCTAATTATTCATTAAAATTACAAATGTGCAATCATTTTTATTATCAATTGATAATTTGGCAAATTACGAATGTAATCAAGAATTTGCTAAAGATATAATGATTTAATGTAGGAAATATTTATCGTGTATATCCAGTCACGCGCAGGAATATAATAATAGGAAATTAACAAAACAACGGGAATTGTGCAAAAGCAACCCAGAAGTGTGCAAACTATGGCCGACATGGTAGGCAAATGAACTTACGTGTTCTAGGAAATCGTATTGAAAAAAATGAACTACCGCATGCGGTTGCTACAACTGTAACTATCATTTATTTTTTTATCCCAAAAGAAAATATTTCCATGAAAACGTTTGTTTATTACTCTATTACACATCTATTTGTGATTCTAGTATACGGTATACCTCGAGAGACCTTCCAAAAACTATTCTTGTCATATTACATTAAAATTAGCAGATATGTGAATAATGCACCAATCAATGCTGATTGGTTGAACCTCAATTTTTACAAAACGTAAATGTCACTGTATTTATATTTAATAAAGTTATTCTATCTGTTGATTCTCCAGATGGAAATTACTCGAAACCACAAGGTGTTCAATAGCCGACATATTTTAGGTGGTTCTTTTTAGGTTTGTTTCAAATAGAGATACATAGCAACCGTGATTTCGTCAAGTTTTGCGTCAGTAAAGTTGACAATGGCGTCGTCCTGGCCCTTTGTGTCAAACTTCGGATAAGGACCTCGAAGAAATAAGAATACACAGAACGGATACCACGGTTGGTATCGATGTCGGTATTCTCTTTGCGAAATTTGCTGAAACAGTGTCCTCTTTGCACACGTACAGGCCATCCGCCGCCGACAAATACCCACACAATAAATGTGCATTCTACTGATAGAAGACGGTATGTCTTGTGAAAAAGTATACTACTATACTACAAAGGACTAGAATTGTTGTAACTAAGTCGTTTAGTTTTCAATGACTGTAACTCCACAAGAAGCTGCACAATATGTTTTAACGCCCAAGGCTTCAGCAGGTAATGTAGACGTCAATTAACTAGTGATTTGATTATATACACATCATAAATCTAATATGTTTTCATTATCTTCAGGTGAATGGCAAAAAATAGTCAAAAGTGTATTTGAAATTCACGAAAACTGTCTACTTCGTAGCGGCAAAGGTCTTCTGTTTGCAAATGATTTCTCCTGTCACAAGTATTATAAAACTCTATTTTTTAAAAGCATATGGGCCCTTTAGGTCGGTATGTAAATAAGATTTTATACAGAAGTCTGAATTCGACCTCAATAATGTGCATTATATGGATGATAGTAGGTTCACTAACATTTTCAACTAGTGGTTAAACAACCAAGACAATGTCACAGTCACATGTTATAACGCATTTCAAGTAAACATAAACAATTCATCGACACTTCAGAGAATTACTTTGACCAATACTACATGTATTTAAAAATATATTTCTTCTTTGCGAGTATTGGTTATATCATTTTAATGCTACCGACTTATCAAAGTAAAATATATTCGGAAGGACTTAGTTTAATAATATTTTATTGTATAAATATACACACAATATACAATTAAATAATTTTACAGACACAATCAAGTGTACATACAAAAGGGTTGGGCCAAAAGTTCTAACAACATTATCGTGGGCCCTTCCCTGAGGTTAGTCAGAATTAAGTTTATACTATTTGAATAAATTTGTGTGATATCAAATAATTATCAATTTCAGTTTTAAGTAATTTTCAGATACTAATTTTCATGAACTAATTTTAACAAATGTTTTATATGTAAATATAAATTAATCAAATGAACATTTAACAGAGGTATATATATAAAAAATAGAAATATAGATAAGCATTATAATAAAATTATGATACTAAGAGTGATTAGATTAAGTTATTTAAATATTTTAAACGTATAAAGTATAAGTTTCAAAAGTCAAAAGTGTTCCATTTAAAGTTATTTATAGCTTTTGAATTACGTGTTCTAAGTATCAAATTTTGAGAAAAAGGAATAAATAATAGAATGAAATAACAAAATTATCGTATTTGTTACAAAAATTGAAAAAATAAAAAAAATTAATAATACTATTAATAAATAAATACAAAAATATTCACCGCACAAAACCCTGCTTAATCTTAAAGTACTGTTTCAGCAGTAAAATATTTGATTTTATTCAATTAAATCTCTTGCTGATTTAATAAAAATCTGTACTTCTTTAAAAAGAATTTCATTTTCGGATTCAGATCGCCCTTCTATTCCAAACAAAGTTTTCGTACACTAAGAGGATGAAAAGATCTTGTATTTAAAAACAATGTTCTTCTTTGTTCACTGTATAAATTGCATTTAAAAAAATAGTATTCTGAATTTTTAATAAGTGCTCCACATATACAAGATGGAC